GGAGGAGGAGGAGGAGGAGGAGGAGGAGAGAGTTAGACTCCCCAAGACGGCAGCAGAAAGAGAGACAGAATTAGAGAGAAATTCCAAGTCAAAAATACACATCACTCATGCAGGCACTTGCCAGCATACAGCTTCCTAAGGAAAGCTTCCAAGTTTGGACAGGAGGGCCAGAGGTGAGAAAAGGGACGGATTCACAGTGGGAGGCAGACACTGGGATGGGGAAAACTGAGGGTCTCCAGGAAAAACCCAGGCAAATAACCCCTAGCAGGGGCAGCCAGGTCTCCATTGGCTTATAGGATAGGGATGAGAGAGCCAGAGAGCCACTCCCAGCTCTCCCCAAGACACCCCTCCCTCAGCAGCCAGGAGGAGCCCAGCTGTGAGAAGTCACTGGACACTGCTGCAGGCCCTCGACTCGGCCCTCTGGAACCCCCTTGCACCCACTTTGCTCTTGTTTCTCTGTCCCTCTAAAAAGGAAAAAAAAAAAAAAAAAAAAGCCCATTGCTATACAGTGGCTGTGCCTACAAGAAGGCAGAAAGAAGCTGGGGAGAGAGTCTGATTATGTGCATCTAAGTGCATGCTTCACTGTCCCACCTGCAATGTCTATCTGCAGTTATCTGGACATTGCTCAGGGGGACCTGTGACCATGTGGACTGGAGCCTTGTGCATGGCTTCTGTACCTGAGTCTGTGGGATTAGGTGCAAATGAATGCACCTGTGCCTACAGTTTCCACAGTCAATCAATTAACAAGTGTTTACAAAGCACACTCTGTGCTGGGCTCTGGGTGGGATCCAGAGTTCTTCTAGCCATCCTCCTAGGTCTCAAGGACCTTGTCATCTAATAATTGGATGGTATGACAAGTGATGGTGACAGACGTGCTATCAGGAATTCATGCTTTGCACCATCATGCAGAAAAGTCTTTTCATACAGATGAATTTGATTTTCTTGGAGGCAGAGGTTTTATTGTCTAAGAGCTCTACAGTATGAATCCAGGAAAATACTTGTTGCTAAGTTGTATACACATGTATTGATGTGTAGCTGCGTTTTGCTTTCACTGAGTGATAGTGACTGTCATGGCAAGTGATGATGACTGCATGACCTGGCACATGTAAGCACGTGTGTGCCTATGAGTGACAGGGTCTTTTGTAATTATGCGGCTGTGTGCAATTGCTGTGTGCATGCATGCATTCGATAGTGACTTTCCCTGTGTGGGTGACAGCAACTCCTCCTTGCCCGTGTGTGTGACAGCATCTCCCTGTGACCCTGTGCGTGGGTATATGCATAGGTTCGTCTCTCTGCTCTTGGTCTCCCGTGGGTGTGTCCCACCCCTCTGAGCTCCACCATGCAGCAGCAGCCTGCCTCTTCCCTTGTCCCCATGTGGGTGTGTCAAGCAGCTCCTGTCCTTGAATCTGCCTGGGTGTCCCTGGGTGTGCATGTGGCTGTCTGTGTGGGCATATCTGTGTCTGTATGTCACCTTTGCCTCCCCCCTTCATCTTGGACAATGGTCCCCTTCATCCCCTCCCCCTCCTGGGGCCAGAGCCAGCATTCAGGGGCAGGCTCCCATCTCACTGGCTTGCCTTCTGTGCACCCCCCCCCCAGTCCCTGGAATGGGTGGCTCTCTCCATTGCCTCTGACATCTTCCCAGGCCTTCCTTTCACATTGGACAAGGGAGGGCCCTCCACAGAAAAGGGGCACCAGAGACACGTTGCAAAGGGAGGGGAGTGGAGAGAGAGCACACACACAGCACAGGTCCATTTTTTCCTCTCTTCTCCAACCACCAGCCAGCAACTCTCCTAATAACCCAGGGACCATCAAATACACCCCCACTACTACACACACACTCCCCCCACCCCACTCCTCCTGCCGCGTTTTTGCAATTAGGAGTGTTGCAACCAGAAAGCCATGCTCAACTGGGGAGGCAGTGAGGGGAGGGGGACTTTCCTCTCCCCCCAGCCCATGCAAGCCCCCCACTCCACCGTACCCACACTTCTCTCCGCAGCTGGAGGCAGTTTTGCAAAGGCCATTCGACCTCGGTGGCTGGGGGGGGTAGCGGGAGGGGGGGCACGACAGGCCTCCGGCACACCGTAAACAAACCGCGGTGCGGCGGGCGGGGGAGCCTCAGTAGGCAGCGGGGCCCAGCCCGGGAATGCGCAGCAGACCGGCCGGACAGAGGCCAGGCGGGCCCTCGAGGGGGAGGCCCAGACGCCATCTCCGCTGGCGAACCCCGGGGCCCACCGACCTCTTAGCAGCACCTCCCTTCCCTAGGGCGTAAGTTGCAAGCAATCGGGGCTGTGACAGGGTCACCCGGGCGCCGGGAAAAGGCTGCGGTGGGCGGCGGGAACCCCCGGGGTGCCCCTAGCCCGCCTGCAAGCTGGCCAGAGACCCGCGGCTTTGCATAATCAATCGCGATGCATTTGCATATTAATGCCCCCTCGCTCCCTCCTCCTTACCTCGGCGTGGCGCGCTGGACCGGGCTCGGACAGCGACGCGGGGGGTCTTAGCGCCCCGTGCCGGGGGCGTCCATGGGGGGCCGGTGGGGCCCGGGCCTCCCGCCTCCAGCGCCGGGGTGTGAGTGCGAGTGAGCGCGGGGGGGCGGGGGGCGAGTGTGGCGGCCCCGCGGCTCCTCCGGCAGAGGCGGCGGCCGCTCTGGCTCCTCCCTCCCCCGCCCCGCTCGGGCTGGG